GGGAACTAGGAATGATAGGAGGGAGACAATCAGATACTGTTTCAAAAGTAGTTTTCTGCCACTTGAGCACAAGAATCATCCTGACCTCTTCTCTCTCCGTGTGCAATTGCTAGTCTGCCTTTTCTCTGCTGAGTGGTGACAGTATACCAGCTTCCAGAGCCCCATCATCACTAACAACATTAGCACCCAGAAGACAGTGTTCACCCAACTCTTAACATCATCCTAGGCAGTTGCTTTGCCCACAGGAGTAACTAATCCTGGGAAACTTTCCAATCCAAGGCACAACAGCAACCAAGAGAAATAACCTAGCACCAGGAGAAGTGAGGGGTATCTCCGAGAGAGGAGGGCACAAATTTCATGAATGTTCTGCTTTTGAAATCGGGATCTCTACAACCAGCCCAAGGAGATTCATTTGTGCCAACCAGTCGCCCTGGGTGCTGCTTCCACCCATTCAGACTGTAGAACAGAAGAGGTGAGTCCTTTGTCGATACAACATCAGTATTATAACATTTAGCAAGACTCAAAATATGTAGTATGATCAATAGCTATCACTCACATACAAGAAATGTGTTACTCAAAGTCCGTGGGACACTGAGTTTTAGCTCCACTTAGACTTATATCCCCAGCATATTTCCTTCTCACAGACATGGATGTGACACTCTGCAACCAACTGCCTTTCCATCCACATTTATAACAGTCACTCACCAGCACTGCCCTAAGTTTCAAACTCTGACCTCCCTGAATGTCAAATGATATGATGTCCCGTCATAGTCTCCCTTTCATTTCTCAGAATAGGTTGGTGCTTTTTTCAAATTTCTACCAGTTTGCTTACACTCATCTACAACCCTCATGCAGAGATGAATTGGTAATCACAGGATATATCAACCAGTTATTTGAAAATACTTCTGTGGTGATAGCCGCGAGGTAGACAGGACTGGTCTACCTCACTGCCCAGGAAAGTTTACAACTCCCTACATTGCTTCACTTTCACAGCAACTACGGTTTCTATCTTGGCTGCTTCTCTCTCAAAATGATACCCAGCAGACAGACAGTGCCCGAGGAAACCAGTAGCTACACAGACAGAACTGTAAACCACGTTCCAGATTGCCAAGGGCCAGACCACAGAGCACACTGATCAACACCTCAGGTGAGGGAAAAACAGGAATCATTTTCTGGTTCTCCTCAGGATTCATTATAAATTGTCCCCCCATAATGAAAGGCAGAGGGCCTCAACTTTTCTCAACTGCAGAGGATCCTAACTCTAAGACCTTATGACTTCAACTTTCCATCATCCAACACTGTTCTCTGCCATATCTGAGCCACCAAAGACATGTAAATCCAATTCAAACTTAGAAAACAAAAAGTGTAGTAAGTTAAGTAGCTGAGTTAAGCAATGTCATCTCTATCTCTGGTCCTTGCTGATTATAATAGACTTTAAGAATCCATCTTTTAAGGAAGGAATATGTAGGCACATACTAGTTTCAAGAGAATCAAAGGGAAAAAAATTAACTTTCAAAGGTGGGAACCCCTAAAAGAGAATTTAGTGTCAAGTCCAAAAGGTTGTCACCTAAAACCCTCAGGGTAGAGCCCCACCCATCGCTAAACAACCACTTAGAGGGCCACTCAGAAAATGACGTCAGGATTCTCATCCCTCTGCTACGAATGTCTTTCTCTCTATTCTGGCATCTTCAGTCTTTGCAACTTTGCCTTCTTACCTGAAGAACTTTTCCTTCTCTCTGCTTCATGACCTGTTTGGAAAGTCTGCTCAGGTTGTGGTTCTGCTGCTCTCCTTGCGTTGCTTCCTGAGTTAGAGCCAATCTGGCTGGTGAGCAGGATGCTCCGTCTTCTTCACTGTTCCCAAGAGAATTGCACATTCATTTAAACAGGAAAAGCCCCCCCCCACCCCATAGAGAAATATAGTTAAAGTTATTTGAATTATTATGCTCCCTAAACAGATTTGAAAATTGAGGCCCCAGTGGTAGCGTGTGTGCCTAGCATGCACGAGGTCCTGGGTTCAATACTCAGTACTGCCATTAAAAATAAATAAATAAATAAAATAAACCTAATTATGCCCCCCCCCGAAATTAACTTAAAAAAAAAGAATGAAAAGAAAGAAAGTTGAGCCCCTCAGATGTTAAGAGGTTGGCCCATTGTCACAACAGAAGATAAAAAATAGAAAAGGTCCAGGTAATGTCACATTGCCCCAGGGTTTAGAGGATAGGCTTATAAATTATAAATAGTACTCAAATCTGTACATTACCATACTGGATGATAGAAACCTCAATAAGGGACTTGAGGACGAAATAAGAAGATGGAAATAAACATCAACGAATGTTAAAACTTGAGTTTTCATGGAAACAGGTAACTAGCCCAGACACAAGCTGGAGTCCAGGGAAAACCAGAATCGCTCCAAGAACTCTGCAAATGTGACTAATGAAATCACCAATACAGTAAAAGCTAAAATGTTTCCAAAAGAGATAACCTAACTGAGTAGAGAAGCATAAAGTATGCAGATAGCAATGATATCAGAAGCAGGGTTCAGACAGGCGAACTTTTATAATGTGTACTCACAACTTCCTTGAGGGGAGAAACCCTGAATCTGGGGCATCTGATAGTCTCATTCACCTGGGAGACACATTCTGTTCCTGAGCAGGGATTGCTCATTAGACTTCTCCCTGAGTGGGCTGAAAAAGCCGTCAGGATTTTCCTCAATCTGTCCTCTGGATCTAAGCTCATGTACTTACTCTCTGATGGCTCA